TCCAGCCTGTGGTGCTTAAAGTATTACTGGCAAAATAGATGTTACAGACATAGGAAAGCCAAAAGTGAAAGAACTTACAATTGCAGACCCCAGATCCCCCATCTTTCTTGAGGGCACCATATATAAACAATTTCTAAAGACAAGCTCAAAATCTGCCATCATCTTCACTCAGTGTTCATCAGTGAAAGCTTCTCAAAGTTAATCCAGTACTCAACCCAAAGTGTTACCTGCAGAAACTTAATTAGAGGCAGCTCTCTCTCTCCTGACATTTCCATGGTGTGATCATAACACAGTCCTTGAACTTAGCACTGTATGTGTACTCCCATAATTAAATTATAGTTGTGGAGATGGCCTGGGGCATCCTGTCTGGCAAACCAAATGGAAGAAAACAGAGTAAAGAGGGATAAATCAAAAGAAATCAAAAGCTAGTGAAGTAGATTGTGATTGTAAGCTTCTACATGGATAATTTTAATTGTAGAGATACAGTTCATACTTTCTGATCATATTTCTGCCTTGGAGAACTCATTCTTCAGAACTGACATTGCTGGGCATCACAGGCCAAGAGTTCATGCTATGAGTGAGCAGGGACCATATAATCTGCAGAATATTTTAGCTACTCAATTACGATGTAAGAAGATTACATTGTAAAATTACTTCTCTGCCAATTGAACATCAGGCTATTAAAAGTAGTACAAAAGACAGAAGTTAAAGAACAGCCTTTTCAGCGACTCTATTTCCCTGTTTTTGAAGATGCATTTCTTTATTTTCCTAAAATACTACAAGCAGTAATAATTTATCTGTTCTCCATTGTAATTGTGACATTACAATAAAATAATGTCCAATTAATATGCTCCTTAATGATTCCTTCTAGAAAGAAAAATCACTGCAATAATAATGTCTCGTGTAAGGGCAGATAATTTTAATAACTTGAAAGAAGACACTGAGGATGTCTCTACATTGCTAACTTCATATTTAATACTTATTCTGGGCTGAACTGAGAGATTCATGGAGAACAACTGCTACTGACAGGAAATTATGCATTCCCTAGACACCTGTCTACATTGTCTTTCCCAAGAGAAGAGAGTCATAGCTTTCCACTATGCTGATGAGAGTAAATCAAAGTGACCCAACCTAGAGAGTGCAAAAAGTGGATAAAGTGATTAAAACTGACTGAAACTTGGGGCCTGGCTTCTATTTTGATATTAAAAAATATATTCCAAACTATAACAAAAGAAAAGAAATAGGGAGAAATTGTTTAGGAAAAGAAATTATAATCATATTCAGGGGTAAAAAAAAAAACTTTTTCTTTAAATTGTGCTGATACTGCAGAAACTCACAGTGATGATACTTGATTTTTCTGCATAGAAAGCATGGAAATTCTGGGTCTCCAGCAACCTACTAGATATGCATTTACCAAGAGAAGTGCTATAATCCAGTTGAAAACACTAAGGAAATAATATTTTTAAGGCATTTTATAATTTTTCAATAAAAATTTTATTTCTCATGTGAAAACTATTGTCATAGATTTCCTGATCTGTTCCAGCTCTTATTTCCAGGGAACTCAGTTCCTTTCTGTGTAGGCTCATGGTCGGTACCACATGAGACTAGATGAGCAATATATGTATCATATGTATTTTTCTATAAACCCACTTCAAGGTGCAAGTGACACCTGCACTGCAGCTATGGCAACCTTGTCTAAGCACAAGACAAAGCTCCCTGAGGGTAGTATTAGGAGTATTGTGCTTCCAGCCTATCTTCTTAGATGCTTTCCTGAAGTAGACAGGTTAAGAAAAGATTTCAAGATACATTGGTGAATGTAACAAAAACCTTTTGTAACATTTTTCTGAGTATGAAATATGTTCTGGAAGGACTTATGAAATCAATTCACAAATTTAAAAGAACAAAACTTTGTTTACACAGCAGAAAATATTGTTACTTCCTTGCTTTGCATCAATTAGTTCTTCTGCTCACTCTTTCTAAGATATCTAGACATCTTTAGAGCACCTTCACATTCAGCAATATTAAATATAAGGAGAAATTAGAGGTGGTCATCTTTGTTCTTTCAAACAGATTTTCTTTCCCATTTTCTGCTGCCCATTGAGGGTGCCCCACCCAACAATCACTTCTAATGTCTTAGAGCTGTGGAAGTTCACAATAGTTCAAACACCTTTGCCCATCTTCCCTTGGTCTTCCCTTGCTAGTAGATCCACCCAGTTTGTAAAAATATGTCTTCATGATTAATAAATGGGACTTGGAAACCATTGTAGAAGAGATTCAGAGACATTCCTATAGGAGCAGGTTGTCAATACCAGAAGATTCTATTCACTCCCCAGGGAAAAAAACCATACAAAATCTTGCTCTTTTAACTCACAGTTTTTATAAACACAACAAGTGTTTATTATCCTGCTTTGAATTACATGTCAAAATGTCCACAAGTCCCAAGAGCAGCCAGGTCTGCAATGGAGCAACACAAACCAAAGGCCATCATCTCATAAGAAGAATATGCAAACAAACTGAGGAAGATGTTCACTGATTTCACTTTCCATTTCAAACACAAACAGGATCTTTCTGATTTGAAATTAGACTCTTGAGTCATTCAAAGATGTATAACTAGAGGCAAAAAAGCAAACTGTGTCCAGCCACAATGCATTTATTATTTATCCTACCCTATTTATATCTCATGCTGAGGGATGTATGCAATAGACTGAATCCACATTTGTTCCTTGCATTCCTTCTCACAGCTGAGAAGATGCAATGAACCATAAAAGGTTTCATTATTGCAATGTTTTGTCATGGTATGTGTAATCAGCACAGACCCCAGTAAAGAGGCTTTGGAGGAGAAGAAGTTTAAATATTTAATGTTTTTCTGCCTATGATAAGTTTAATAATTAATGCTGCTCCTACTCTGGAAATGACAAATCACACAACAAGCATGCATGATAAGAGAAACAAACAGAGCTAATAGAGAGGAAAACCTTACTTAGAAGGCAGTAATTAAAACTGGAACATACCTCAGGATCCCAAAGTACTTTGATCCTGACCCAAAGAGCAGTTCTATCTATCTACTAAACTATCTAATCTGGGGGGGAGGGAGGGGGTGCAAAAGATGAGGGATAATTGCTAGTCTTTACCTTGCATATGTGAGAAATGATACACAGAGGTTACGAGCCAAAGTGTCTTAAAGATTTCTGCACTCCTAGGAAAGAAAAGGAAGAGTGTGAAAGCTGTTGTCTCTTCATGTTCTGCACGAAGGAGCCAGCCATTGAGCCATTACTGAAACTTGTTACATGGCAGGCTAAGAGCAAGACTAGATCTGTACCTGGGTCTAAACAGCACTGTAGCTACTTCGGTTTCACGCAGTATCTACAAATACCAGATCTTGACCTAGCTACTTCAGTTCCAAGCAGTATCTACAAATACCAGATCTTGACACTCTCTTAATAAGCCATTTTATAACACACTGCCACCAGTACAATTCTCTGAGTACATGCTCCTCCGTATCCACTCCCACTGATGATCTGCAACCTTCAACCCCCACTGACTGGTAGCTAAAAGAAAATTCAGCTCACACACTGCTGTGCTTCAGTGCTGGAGCACGCTTATGTAAATGCAACAGAATTAATGTTGAAGGAAAGCACAAAGCATGACTGAAAAAAATCTTCTCTGATTCACTCAATTTAGATATGTTTTCAAATGATTAGCATTAGAAGTTTGTCAGACAAAGAAGGTGAGTGCTTTGATACAGACATTGCCACTATATCCTACTTTCAGGGTAGAAACCATTTTCCCTAAGCCCTGGTTTGAGATAATCACACTGTGGGAGAAATAGGTATATCTAGAAAGTGACTCATCTTACCTTCAGAGGTGCCTAAAACAGGTCAGGTGACTCATTCCCACCCCCTGAAATGAAGAGCCCAGTGTGATTATTTCAGATTGAGGGAGGCAACACCTTGCAGACATGTTGGTAGCACATCTCCACTGGGCCACAGTCAGTAGTGCTAGGGCACAGGCACTGGTTCCCAGTCCAAGCACAGGACCATGCCCAACAGCTAATCTGGATGTAGCCACTCTGGTTTGGAGGCTATTGTAGTTCACAGAATCATAGAATGGTTTGGCCTGGAAGGGACCTTAAAGATATTCAGTTCCAGCCCCTTCCAGCCTGGCTTTGAACACTTCCAGGGACAGAGCATCCACAGCTTCTCTGGGCAACCTGTTCCAGTGCCTTATCACCCTCACAGTAAAGAATTTCTTCCTTTTATCTAACCTGCCCTACTTCAGTTTGAAGCCATTCCCCTTTGTCCGATCACTACATGCCCTTGTAAAATGTGTCTTTCTGGCTTTCCTTTACCTCTCAGGCCCTTTTAGGTACTGGCAGGTGCTACAGTTGAATAACTCAGATGTGGTCAGACTTCCAACTGACATCAGTGTCAGAGAAAGGTACTGCTATGGCATTGCTACCTAGGATAGGTGTCTCCTTCAAGCAATAAGATCCAGAGGTTTGTACACATTATTAACATGTTGCTACAAAACAAGTTATTTTTATTCACTGTCTAGTCTTCTTGCTTGAATATACTTTCTAAGAGTGGGCTTTGAGAACTTAGTATGAGGAGATAAATTAAGCTTCTGACAGTAGACAATATACAACTGTGTTTAAAAGTTATGTCTTTCCTAAGCTCAATCTATTGCAATAAAACTAGGTTAGGGTAGACAAGTATTCATACATACTCCTGGAAAACCAAGTCAGTCACATCAGCAACAGTCCACAGGTTTTCAAACTCAGAAAACCATAAAGATGTTATATTTTCCAAAGAACAGTTCCATCAATGTAATATCCTATAAACTCTTCTCTTGTTTTTGCTTCTTTGTCAATGGAATAAAATAGCATAGTAGCATATCTCTGCAGCACAGCCACAGCCAAGGGATTCAGCTGAAACTGAAGCCTCCTCAGTGATGCAATGATTTGCCCTGTTAAGATCACAGGGTATTGTTCACTCTGGACTCTATACCCATTCTGACTTTTTTGACCTCAAGCAACTACTACTGCTATAATTTGATTGTGCATCAGGGCTTTTTAGCTCAGCTGAAGGGTAGACTCCTAAAAGCTTGCTCTGAATTATAGAGGAAGAAACTCCAAGGTGAGACCTGATCTGAGGTCTTAAAGCTGGGGCAGTATCTTTAATGAAGTCTTGCTGAAGTCTGTGTCTCACTTGCCTGCATGAAGTTCCTTGGTGATCACTGGCACACAAGGGTTCTTCAGTGCTGTCTTGATTAACAGCAAGATCTCCTGATCCACAGCACTTATTGCTGTTGCTGTTAAGGTTAGAGCTGGCAGTTTGCTGGGGGACAACTTCAGGATGAAGAACAGCCTCTTCTTCAGAGAGAAGCGAGCAGGAGCCATCACTGGTGTGACAGTTATTTGATATTGGGCAGTCTTCATTTTGAGGCAGAGAAGAGCTACCATGCTGTACTGGGGGAAAATTTAAAATGCACTCCTTCTCTTTGCAGAGGTTTGCCAGCAGCTTGTTCTTTTGGTTTCTTGCTGTCATTCTCCGGAGGGCACAGACAAGGTCAGCAAGGCTAAGCAGAAAGGATAGACTGCTGACCCCCCAGATGAAAATCATCATGATGGATTTCTCAGTGGGCCGGGAGATATAACAGTCAACTGTGCTTGTGCAAGGTGAATGGTAGCAGGAAAAGCTCTCAGGGACGAAAAATCCAAATAGGAAATACTGCACACCTGCAAAGGCAGCCTCAAGTAGGGTTCTAAAAAAAAGATGAACAGTATATGCCCCAGAAAAATTAAGGATACTTAGGTTGTCTGCACCAAAATCTACTCTATTGACAACACCACATTTACAGAGCACCTTCACATCTTTGGGGCTTGATAAACCCTTATTCCCTTTGCATCCATGCACCAGACAATGCATTTTTACAATGTGCAGAGCTACCTTGTGCAAAACATAAATGCTGAATGCAGCATAAGGTAGGAGGATAGACACAGTCTGAATGAGCCAGAATCTAAAGTGAGATACAGGAGAGAACAAGTCATAGCAAACGTTGGAGCATCCTGGTTGCAGGGTGTTGCAGACAAAGCGTTCCTGCTCATCTTGGTAGAGGGGATAGCCTGCTAATACTACCACTGCCATTCGCAGCAGAATTATTAACATTAGCCAGATTTTTCCTAGAAGAGAAGGAAAAGTAAGAAAAATAGTCAGAGCACTGAGAAGGAAGGTAGGTAATGTAGTGATGCTCTTTCTATATACAAGGCATTTGAAGGAATAGCCTCTGTAATCAGTCTCATCTCTTAATTGCTCCTCTTTGGTTTTATTTTGACTGGGATGGAAAATCATGTGAAAATGTGTAGCAGACACATTCCATAAGCTTCATCTAGACTCAACAATATAGGAGTTTAAGATACAATAAGCCACGCCAACAGAAACCCTATGGAAACATTCAGAACATGTTCAAAACTGATAAAAATAGTTCAAAATTGAGTTAAAAATCCCATTTCATTTACAGTTTTTCCTTGTTGTAGGGTTTCTGCCCCTGCACATGATTTTTGTCCTATCTCAATAATACAGATCAGCTAACACAGTACAAAATTCATCTAGATACAAAAGATTGTTCCATGACATAGTATTTGTTCTTGGTCTTGGGCATGAAATTGTATGTAAAGTTTATCATGGCCAAGAAAATTTCTCTGCTGTGCCTAGAATGGTATTTACTAGCAAGCTAGTGATTAGTTATTATTTTTATTATGAGCAAACATGCACAAAAATGTTACACAAATCTATGTGTGTGTGCACACATGTAGCCCAGTCATTTTCTTCAGTTGCTTCTTTGGTTTCCCATCTTGGTCATGTCTTCCAACCTTCATTCACCTTCTGTGCAGCTTTTCTCCATTAGACCAAGAGTTCCCTTCTCTCTTGATATCAACACCAAGTGAAGTCTTACAAGTTTGGCATTCTCATACATTGCTTACTTCATCTTCCCCTGAATTCTTTTATATAATTGCTATAGGTATGGCTCGGTCTCGTGCAACTTTGGTTGGAAAGATCAGGCACTGGTACCATATATATCATACCTTTTGAATGAGACTGTATTGTTATGATAGTTTTTTGGAGGATATTTGGATGGAGTACATTTCTGTTAAATTTTTTTAGTAAAGTTACAAATGCTACTGTATTATACTGATAGAATTATTTAATAATAAAATAATAGCAATTTAAAAAAAAAAAAAAGAACAAAAGAAAACACCCAAAACCCATGGCAGGGAGATTGGAAATAGATGATTTTTAAGGTCCTTTCCAACCCAAACCATTCTATGATTCTATGAAAAACTAAATCCTTTTCCTGGCCAGGATAGGAAAATTTAAAGATATATTGCTATATTGTCAAAAATTGAAAATACATCCTGTACAAAAGCGTAGAAAAATTCAACATCTGAAGTTAAATTTAGCACTTGAATTTCTCAAGTTTCCTTTTGAGTGCTGCCACTAGATCCCTACACAGTTTTGGAAAAGCAATTAAATTTAATAATCTTGTGCAAGAAAAGAGAAAATAAACACTTAGGAGCAAAAAGAAAGCAATCAATCAAACAAACAAACCACAACATAAAAAAAGTGATGATTAATTCTGTGCTTTTTAAGACTGGTTAAGACACCATTTGTGACCACAGACAGACAAACAGCAAGACTCAGTGACTAAAGAGAAGCATATTATATGGAGTTAATGGCTTAGAAATACACTGAAAACCTCAAGTTGTTAATGGTGAATGCACATCTCACATGCAGACAAGGTTTTGCAGGCAGTCTGTGAAATAGCATCAATGCACATTATAAAGACATGAAAAATCCAGATCACAAAGCATTTTTTCCTATAAAATATACAATTATTTATAGGTATTGTCTTGGAGAATTTTTCTTTTATATTTCCCATAAAGCTATTTCCCAGTAGTTGGTGTGAATTAAAAAAATTCAAATCTTTCTGCAACATTGTGTGATACCTATTCTTGTACTTCACATGCAGTTGGAATGCCCCATAAAAACCATTTGTGGCCAGTAGATTGATTATGGGCCAGTACAGTAAAACTGCTCTCTGTAGCAGAAAACCAGCTGGAAAAACATTAAGGGTATATAAAGTTTATGAGAGATCATCAGAGAAAGCAGCTGCTCCTGGTAAAATAATATGTCATCTAACCATAAATAAATTGAGGCCTTTTATCTTTAATCACCTGAAGTTTAGTGGTGGTTTTGCTGTGTTCCAGCTTCCTGCACTTTGCTGACAGGCTGTACTCTAACTCACTTTTCAACATAGTGTAGGTCAATTGAAAACACCAGAATCTGTCATCTTTAGCAAGCCATGTTTCATCCTTAGGTAGCATTTTTTCCCTGCAAGGACCTCAAAGTGTTTGAAGTGCATGAGTTAATTAAGCTCAAACTACTACATGCTACTTCACTATCAATTTTTAATTAGAACATGGACAATAGGGAGTGCTGCTTCCGAAAAATCAATGGCTCTTTAGGATGTAGTTTAGTATGACATACATTTGAGAGATAACCCCTCCAAGCATCACCTTCCCTGAAGACTCAATCTTGATTCAACATACTAGAACAAGCCCCTTCACCACCCCCACTGGGGCTCAGTTGGGTGTTCCCTGCAATGCACAGCACAAACTGCAGCAACTGCCCCTGGCTGGAGGCAAAGGCTCTTTGAGAGGTCCTTGAAAATTTTTTCTCTGGCTCACACTTTGCCTAAAGCAGCCCATGAAAGAGAAACAGGATCTTATTTAAATAAGAAGGGTGAAAAAATAAACACTCGGTCAACTCTTAGCTGAGGAAAAAACAAGTGTGTTTTTCTTTGTTTTGCTATTTTTAAATACGTATGAACTTTTTTTGTTTATAAAGACCAAGAATTAAAAGCAATGGTAACTAACCACAATGATAATATCCCACAAACCTTTTCTTGTAAAAGGGGGTTTTGTTCCCTTCTTTAAGCTTTTTTATTTCATCACTAACTCTATTGCATATGTTCTACCATTCATTTTCTGTGGTATAAGTAAGGTGTTCTGTGTGTTTTCCTCATGATCTCTACAACAGCCATTAGAGCTGACTGGAAGCTCTGGCATCAAGAAGAGCCAAATTTGAAAACCTTGCCAGACTATTTTATGTAAAGTTCAGGAAATATCTATCAAAGAGGGAGCAGTAATCTCTTTAACAAGAAAAGAAATACATGAACCTCTCATATCAGGTAGCAAATAACAACTTACAGTTAGGATCACAGAACCATAGATAAAAATTAAGGTTGATTATTGGTAGGAAGCTTGTGTGACTTCAGGATATGAAGCAGCAAAGAAAGAAGAGAGCTCTTTTAAAGCACTTACCTACAATAGTCACATTATAGTTGAGTGTGACAATCAAAAGTCCCAGTGAGTCCCAGTGCTCCATGTTTGAACAGACTCAAAACACTTCCAGCTCCTGATGCCCTAACAGTTTTGTAATTTCCAAAGGAGATGAGACCTAAACAGGGAAGAAAGGGGGGGTGGGGAGGGATGGACAAAAAGAAGGGGAAGAAAAAAAAGGAATTTTTGCTAAGACCAAGGATGGAAATCAGAAACCCACCCACAAGGATTTTTTTGATGATTTGAACAGGACTGTTAGTTTTGAATATTGGAATAAATCTTCTTAAGGCTTTAACAGTTTGTCTTGCAAAAGCTCTAGCTTGTCAGATCCAATAGCTCCTACCTCTCATGTGGATCCTCTGTCCAGACAACTGCAAGTGGACAAACAACAACAGGAGTGATCTTTGCCATTGTAGACTATTCTTACCCTCCCAGGGCATACCAGCCTCCTGGCATTGCTGAGATATTTCAGTGCTGAAAGACAGGGAGAGAGGAAAAAATAGCATAGACTAGGAAATAACAGAAACCTCTCTGTCTCCCCACAAGAATTACAGATGGATAATAGAAGGAAAGAGGCTAGAAAAGGATGAGCATCCCTGTGTTTGAAAGGCACTTTCAGTTCAGGTCACTGGAAGCTATCCCATTGCAATTTCCCCAAACCATTTTGTTTCTAAATCACAGCCTGCCTGACAGAACACCATGGCCCTGCCACTCACAGAGACACTGAATTTTCCTCTATGTGCTAAGATAGCCAGAGAGCCAATCCTCCCTGCAGGCATGATAAAACAAAGCTTTAAATAAAATTAAAAACCTAAGGGTGGGGCTGGTTTTCAAGATGCCACAAGCCACTTACTTTTAATTTCTATCAGTTATTTCTGCCAAAACTGCTCGGTACTCAGGACATCACTCAAAAGATCTTAGGGCTGATTGACCAGCATTCTGAAACCCCAGCAGCCCCTCAGCAGTGATGGAGTGAGCTCCCCCCTTGCAGCAAGATGCTGTGGGGTCAGGATGCTTTGGCTGCAAGGTGCAACTGCACAGCATGTCCTTGACACCATGTGACAGTGCTGTACCCCAGGAAAAAAAAATAAAAACAAAAAAAAAACAAGCATGGGTGAAAATAACTCTCATTTTCTCCCACTGTACCAAATTTCCTTGAGGAAAATAATCTCCCACCATCTTCCACTCACTGTTCAGCTACTTACAGGATGTTACTCTGTCCTTTTTAATCTGTGCTGTAATAGGGACAAATACAATGTGGACACTTGGTCAGAAAACAGTATCAGTCACTAGAAAAACAGCTGAAGAAGGAGTCTGTGTGTCATATAGCAAAGGAGAAAAGTGATATTGTGACAAGCTGAGCACAGACTCATCACTGCAACCCTACTCATGGGCTGCAGCCCACGACGCTGTCCCTGGGGCAGCAAGGTGAGTCAGCTCAGAGGGAACTGGATGGTGATGCTGCATGATTTATGGGCAGTGTGACCAGGCTAAGCTCTGTGATTGAGTGCATCTTACCTGGATAAAAGGTAAAACTAATAGTTCATTAAAGTAAAATGTAACTGTACAAAGACTTTCTCCCCAGGACTCTGCTCACAGGGCTTGCAATGCCTTGGTAGAACATGGCAAGCATCCTTCCTGCCTCATCCTAAGGAAACCCTGAAAGTTGGACTTGAAAGGAGAGCCCTCAAAACCTCCTTATGCATTATAAGCATAAGGAGATTATTTTTTTCTTTAAGAGAGTAGTAAATACAGGAGTTTTCTTGCTTTCAGAATTGATTTGCCAAACAACCATTTCTTCTGTTACCAAGTTTTATTTATGGAGTGTAGTGATAGTTTTACCTTCATTTCCCCTACATATTTTCTTTTATTTTCCTTTTTTTTTTTCCAGACACACGTGTGTGAGAAGTATGGGTAGGAGGGAAAGCTGGAGGAAGGGAACAGAGGAAAGATGCAAATGGCCAAGAGATAAATTATGCTGAGATGTGAAGGTATTCCTGGTTCAACATCCTTTGTCAAAAATAGTCAGGAA